CAAAAAATATTTTTGCTAACAAAACTAAACACTTAGATATTCATTTGTAAATTTATCGCCAAATATATCATCCAACTTCCCGATATTTTATCTATTGTATTTTTAAAATTTTATATTTTTATGAAATGTTTTATATATTTTAAATACCTGGGTTATTTTTAAATGGATAGATATTAATTAGATTTGTAAAAATTAATCTCAAATATACATGTAAATATTTAGATTAAAAATAATAGTATGCAAATTTTTATTAAAATATGGTTTAATTTTGCAAAATGAAAAAATGATAAATATTGTTATATAAATAAAAAAATGAATTCACCACAAAATGAATTCCATTGATAAATTAAATTTATTATTTTCACTTTCTTTATTATATTAATGTTGTCGTTATTATACAAAGATAAATATTACTATTCTTAATTAAAACTAAAACAAATATGAAAAATAGTTTGTAATGTTAATATTAATAAATAGATTAACACTCAATCAGCACATTAATGATTTCTTCAAATAATAATAAATTATATGGAAGATTATAATTATATGAAAAATATATACAGTAAGTTAAATTATAAATTTACATTAAATATATAAACATATCAAAATTATTTAAACTTTTTTACTCTTTTAAATGAATAATCCAATTAATTATAATTTTTTGTATTATTATATTTAAACTTTTTTTACTCTTTTAAATGAATAATCCAATTACTTATAATTTTTTTGATCTGAGCAATATTAAAGAAGTTTGAATTTTTTGCGGATTTATTTGGTCTATAACAATAAAGACGGTGTATGAATGCTTAAATATATATTTAAGTTAAATACATAAAACATTGGAATTTATAATATAATCTTTAAATATTGCTTTTTGTTTCCAAATATATTTGTTGTTAAATGAAAAGGGTAATTAAAAGTGACATAAATTTGTGTTTAAAACCCATCTTAAATTTCATACAAATTAGACAATTTGATAAATAAAAATTAGACAGAAAATCTAGAATTTTAGCGATGTGAATGGAACAAATTATTATAATATATAATAATGTCACTATCTAGCGAAAAAATGAACAAATAATTTTGGGTTAAAAGAAAATAAATGCCGAGAGGTTTAACAAACCATAAATTTATTGCGGAGCTTGAATATCTTCTCCCTCCTTCCAGGCCCACCAATTAAGAAAATGAATAATAAAAATTTATATACTAACTAAATAATTTTTATACTAACTAAAAAACTAAATCAATTTCATTATGAATCGACAAGATAAACCTCAGCGCCGTAATAATTAGTGATTATAATTAATATATAAAATAAAACCTATGTAAAAGGAGGTTCAAACCTTTAAAGAATCATTGAAATTTGTCAACAAAATTATATGAAGGCCTTTATATCATTTATTTAAATGGCTTAAACTTGATGAAATTGTTTGTATTGTAACAAAGATAATATAATGATTAATAATATTTAATTTAAATCAATAAGTCATAAAATTTAACTAAATTTACGGTGAATATCTGTAAAACTATTGAAATTGACATAGATAAAGTCTCTGATGAGGTCATTCGAATTTGTTATATTTTTATCTTTTTTAAATAATATTTTGGATTACTTTTAACTGAATAAAAATTTAACTTAAACTTGTTTAAATACCCAAGTTTGAGAAATTGAAAATTATAATTAAATAAATTAAAATTAAATCACTATGTATAAGATTATTCGGTCTGCAACAATAATTTGGTCTGCAAATTATACACATGGACCAGTAATAATTCAAAATTAAAATTAATAAATAAAATTAAATCCTTCAAAAATAATAATCCTTCACATTATTACAGAATTATTGCCTTATATGGGCAAAAGTTTGTTAATAATACTTATTTTTTTTCTTCCGGCGGTCCATTAACATCTCTCATACATTTTTTGTTAATAATACTTATTTTTTGTTACAATAATTTTTTAATTTATTATTATTCTTTAATTTATTCTAGATTCCGCTAGTTAAAATAATTCTTTTTATTTTAATTTAATTTTTTGTTACATTTAGTAATACTTATTTTAAATATCAACAATGTTATAAAAGAAAAAGTCTGCCGGTAAGAAGCGAGTTTATTTATTGATAAATTTAATAATGTCAAACAAGAACAAGCCTATTATGTTTTCTGCAAATCCTCTTGTCTGACTTTAATAATTTATGCATTTTCATAAATTATATCATAATTTAAAATAGGCATTTCTTTTTTAGCACTTTTGCAATGAACACCAAAAGCTCTAAATTCATTTTTACCTATAGGTTCTAATCTGATTTTTCAGCTAATGAATTTTTTATGAGGCAGATTTCACTACGAGAAACCAAAAAAAGAGTTTTTTTAGTTATTTCCGGTTTTAGGGTTAGCTACTTTTGAAAATTTTTATTTGAGTATTGTTCCGAGCGATTTATTTATTTATTGTCAACATTTTATCATTTATTTGTAAAATATTTTTTCATTTCTTTAGATTGAATTCATTCTTTTTATTTCTCTAATCGTTAAAAATGTTTATGTTTGATGCTCGTTCAATTTCTCCGAAAAGCCAGCATTTATTTGTAATTTTGTTCATTTATATTTTTTTCAATTTAATAAATATAAATTAATTTTTTGGATTTATATATAGGATTTAATTTATTTTACTAATGTTCAATGGATAATAAAAATATAGGGTGGGGCAAAAGTTCGGCGACAAATTTTATTTTGTCCTTTCTTAAAATTTACTTTATATTTTGCTTTGTTTTTAGATTTTCCATATTCTATGATTCACGCTCTACACATTTTATCTTGAAAATTTTTTCCTATCTCATAAAGTAAAAATTTTACAGAATGTTAAAGAATCGTGCTTCTATTATTTCTTTGTTTTTTAAAAATGTTCGAAAATGTGACATCGCTAAACGGCTCGATATCTGTCGTATGCTAGTTTCCAAAGCAATAAAACGATATCATGAGCTTGGAAATACTAAGGACTATCCTAGTAGTGGCCGGCCGGTAACCGCAGTTACGCCTGAAAGCATAAACGTGGTCAGATGCCAAATTCGCCATTTTTCCGATCAATCGATGTGTAAAACGGCCTCAGATCTCGGAATGAGCCCGAGGAGCCTCCAAAGAATTGTCAGAGTGAGGCTTAGACTTCGGAGCTAAAAGATCAGCTGCGCATATTTCCTTATCTATCGAATGAAGCATCAGAAGCTTCAGAAATGTCGAAGGATTAAACGCCTGGTCGCATCTGGTCGCCATAACAGAGTGATGAAATGTAAAAATTAATGCTAGTCTAAAAATGGCATTCTGAGGGGGGTTTTGCATCCTTGGGCGTTATAGCATTACGGAGAAAACCAATTCTCGCTTCAGCAGGATTGAGCACCCGCGCATGGAGCCAAAACGACAATCCAGCTCTGTGGGGAGCTGTTTCCTCGTTTTTGGGGGAAAGATTTAAGGCCTTCAAACTCACTGGATTTAAGTCAGTGGATTATTCTATTTGGGCATTTCTGGAGCAAAAAGTATGCCGAACGAAATAACCGATGAACAATGCGCGACCATTGTGAGTAACATCCGTAAGTGTTTGGATGCGTGTATTTCAGTCAGGGTCGGTCATTTTGAGAAATTACTTTAATGAAATGTTTAATATATCCTATTGATTATATTTTATCATTTTTTAATCTTAAATAAAATTTTTTTGCAATAGATTTTATTAAAAACATTTGTCGCCGAACTTTTGCCCCACCCTGTATATTTGGCAATTTTAGCAGTTCTGTTTGAATGGAGCGATATATGTATTTTTGATGTATAATGAATAATTGATACAATTTATAACAACTTTCGTAAATTTTAAATCTTGCAAAAAATATTACTGTCTGATAAAGTATATCAAATTATATACCTATGTAGTAATATGCATTGTTTGTATTTAAATATCCTTAGAAAGCTCGATCCTCATCTTTTTGACATATTTTGATTTTTCCTCAAATATATGCGCGGATATAGAAAGCAACATTTTGGATAAACAAGATCAAAGATTCGTGCTTTCATGAGACTTTGATGAAAAATTACATTTACTAAAATATTAATTTTTAATAGGAAGTAATCTTAATATGTACTACATATTGGGTTACCTACTATTCCATCTTCCTTTCTTTTAGTTCTTTTTATTTTTCGTCCCAAAAGTTACAAAATTGTCACATCCCAGGAGTGCCGGAAAATTGGGTTTTAAAAAATTGGGTGACAAGATTTTTCGGAAAATTGGGTTCCAGCGGATATCAACGTTCACTGGATTCTACAAAAGTAACATAAACCTATCACTTTATACTTATGTTCAGCTTTGAAATGCCGACCTACCCCTTAAGTATCAGAACAAAATTAGCTATTCCAGCGTGATTCAATCATAATTTTTTCAGAATGTTTGAATCGGGATGATTTTGTTTCGTTTATCCAAGTTCGACGAGCTCTTCGGATGAAATATTCTTTCCGGATTCATTTATTTTCTATAGTTTAATAGGTTTACGTTGTTTGATTTTTGTTATTTTCCGAATAGATTAAAAAATTCACCTCGACGCCCAATGTTTCATTCCGACGCGCTAAAAAATTGATTGGCTTCACTAACTTTAATTATACATAAGTGGGATTGTTTCAATTCCAGTGAAAGGAATGGAGACAGAAATTTGTCTTTAAAAAATTTCTCTGCTCGTTAGAACCAATGGTCCGGTCTAAATATGGTAAATCACGAGATAGATTCACTTTGACACATTTTTCTAAATATAATTATAAATTTGGTTTATGTATTTGATAAATATTACTAGATTCTTTCTTAATTTAATTTTTATTTTGAATCCCTAATAAAGTTTTTTGTCTACTTTTGCTACAAAAACCATTAGTCTATCCAATAACACAGGCTCCCGGCTCCGGGGTTTTCATATTCTTGGCTCCGGCTCCGGATTTTTACATTTTGGCTCGAGTTCCGGTTCCAGAGCCAGCGATTTTCAGAACCACTCTATGTTGGCTCCAGGCTCCGGTTAGTATATCAATGTATGTATTATTTTTCATTTAGGAATTTGTGTAGATTAAGTGGTATCTTTTTTACATGTCTAGATTTTCGATCCCTTTTCTCACACCTCCCTTATTTTTTCATTTTTTTCATTCAGCCATCTTTAGCTGTGAAATGGAAAACCCTGGCTCTAGCTCGTATACGCTTCTCATCAAATTTTTGTGACTCATAAACTCTCATGGGGCGCATACTACAAGACAAAGGAAGCATGCCCTAAAGTTGCCAACAAAATTTTATGAGTCCAATTAAATCTATGTGTACTTTAATTCGAATCTACTTTAACTCGTTATAATGTTACGTTTTTTGTGGACATGGAGTAATATACTCAGATTCTGCTGTTGACCGTTTTTCTGATTCAAAGCTGAGTACTTATTTGGTTAATTTGTGATACTAACCTTACGAAGGATAGAGGAAAATAGAAGGCAAAATGTAAAAAAATCGTCAGGAAAATAGTAAAGAAAGCCCAATATCAACCCACCGAGTCTGGACCTTTAAAGACACGAACCTCCATTGAACATATAATTTTTTTATTGTTCTCATAAACTCTAATTTGAATCAAAAAGTTTCATTGGACTCATAAAGGTTAATCGAACGCTTAATAGGTTAAAATTTCGCGTTCTTTATTATAAATTTTACATTATTTCTCATTTTACAATTTATTTGATCTCAAATATTTAACCAAACATAACTGATACCAATTAAAATTACCAGAAATTATAATAATAAAATATAAAGTACTAATTTTGTTAATCTAAATTGAGATGATTCATTCTAATATTTAATTTAATAAAATACCATTAGAATTAATTAATAAATATGCATAAATGATTTTCATAAAAATTAATTTAATCGTTTTTAATCATTTAAATTTAATCATTTTACTTTTTAATATCAATTTATTTCGTTTTTCCTATTTATGTATAATATACACTGCGACGCAAAATTATACGTCCATACCATTTTTTGAAATTTTGTCATTTGTATTGATCCGAATTTTCTAAAAATTTAAATGCACACCCTTTAGTGAATACCTAACAAGATGTGTATGGATTTTTGGCAGAATTTTCATTTTAAAAATTTTTAGAACAAAATTTGTGTTTTCGACCTACGCAAAATTATACGTCCACTTTCAAAAAAGTTAGTTCCAACAATAGGAAAAATCTACAAAAATTCCAGTAAATTTTTCATTTCATCATAACTTTTTTTATCAACTTTTTTGAAATTTTTTTGCATATCTTGTAGCCCAATTAATTCTCTTTTATGACATTAATGTACGATTCTATTATGAACAATTTTCTAGAAAAATTTGCGATCGCAACGTTTGGCAACTGAAAAATCCTGCTGAACAACTTTTATTAACTTTCTAAGAGAATGACCTCATTAATCAACGGACGGTAACCTATTACCGACTGTATTTTCTTGTATTCCGTACAAAAAAATCTCGCGCAACTCAAGTTTTGTCTCCGGATTTCGCGTATCATGCTTTGGTTATGGCGATCATCTCCTAGGAGGTACTAATCCAATCAAAATTATAATTCCTAAACTATCAATTTCCAAACACATGCGCAAGCGAAAATTTATCAATTTTCATATTAACAAATTCCATATTTTCATTTAACTTCTAATTTTAACGTTGAACTTGACAAGACATTCTTACTAGATAGTTTAAATACGGTTAAAAACTAGTTTTCAGATATTTAAAGAAAATCATAACGTTATTTTGTTTAATTTGCATGATTTTACCATTAATTATGGGTACCGGAATTTTGGTCACTGGAATTTTGGTCACTAACCGGAAAAAATGTATGTTATCTAAAACTGTTAACAAAGTGATAAAAAATGATTTTTCAACCCTTATTGTCAATGTTGATCACTCTCCTTGTTAATCAATTGGCTGTACTTTAGTATAGGCCCACTGAGATCGGAACTTGTTGTATATACAATTCGATTCGTCTCGCCGAGCTGAGTTCAAATATGCAAGAATTTTCTGCGGGAGACGAAAACTCGCAGAGATACAGGCCCACGAAAATTGAAAAACCATAGGGAAGACCAAGCACTTTTTTGGGGTGAAAAATAAATATGCAAATGATAACTCATTCGAAAAAGCTCCTCGAGCTGAGTCGAATGACACCAAAATCAATAAAATCCGACTTGATTGTGCAAAGTTATGACCGTTTGTTTTAACCCCTTTCACAAGGTCTACCGCTGCGGAGGAAGCCGGGCATGTCGAGCGGAACGACGGCCGCCGCTTCGCTACGGTCGCCACTAGCGAAGCGAGCACGACCGCGAAAACCTTGTGGAACCTTGTGGAAGCGAAAACCTTGTGGAAGGGGTAAAAACAAACGGTCATAACTTTGTCAAATGAAGTCAGATTTCGTTGATTTTGGTGTCATTCGACTCAACTCGATGAGCTCTTTCGAATGAGGTATAATTTGCATATTCGAATTTTTCACCCCAAAAAAGTGCTTGGTACCCCTATGGTTTTTCGATTTTCAATCGCCTGTATCTCGGTTCAAAAATTTTTCCTAGAGCTAAATTTGGTGGCATTCGACTCAGCTCGACTAGCTCTTTCAAATGATATAACATTTGTAATTTAAATCCTGCACCCACGTACTAAAGTACAGCCGGATTCGTTTTTCACGTCTGGTGACCAAAATTCCTATTTGTGACCAGAATTTCAGTGCCCAAAATTCCGTTTTTTGACTTGGTGACCAAAATTCCGCTAGTGATTAAAATTCCAAAAAGATTGGTGACTAAAGTTCCGAAAATCTTGGCGACCGAAATTCCAGTGACCAAAATTCCGTACACCTTAATTATGGCCTGTAGGACTGTTAAACCATAGGAAATGAGAACCAAAGGAATCGTTTTTTTGTAAAAATTATGTTCGGCAAATGGATTTTTCAGTACCGGAACAGAGTATCGGAAGGTATCGTTAGCTAACGAGTACCAAAAATCCCAAACCATAACCGGGAAGGGAGTATCGAAAAGTCTGGACCAGTACTAACGCGAGTTTCGCGTTAGTAACGAATATTTATTCATTAAAATTTTACAGTACCGGTTCCGGAGTACCGAAAGTACATGTGCCTATGACTTGCTATGTTTTGTGCGCCCCAATCGCCTATATTTTCTTTATTTACATGTAGGGTGCGGCAAAACATGCAAATGCATATTTTGCATGCGGATATGCCATGAGCTGAAACGCTCAAAAATGGTTTTTTACATCAGTTCGAGCACTTTAGGACCCGGTTTTTAATGCATATTTTTGCATAATTTTACCAAAATCTGTGCATATTTTGCATTTTTTGAGAAATTTGTAATTTAAAAATTATATTTTGACAAAATATATAATTTTTCGAAAAATTTTCTTCGAAAAAATTTCGTCAAATTTTTCGACAAAAATTTCTTCGGCAAAAATTTATTCAAATTATTAAAAAAACAATAGCTAAAAACGATTAAATTTATAATTCTGAGCGCCAAAATTAATTAGCAAACATTTTACTGATGAATTCACATTTTTTGAGTAAATATAGTCAATTTTGAGCGCATACTCATTGCATATTTTATTAAATTTTGCAGAGTTCATTGCATATTTTGGGCTTTTCCGATGTATATATGATGTGCGCATATCTTTGGATTTTTCGTGTATATTTTGCCGTACTTTAGCTGTGAGAAATTAATGGACTTACTCTTTGTAATCACAAAATGATTTCAAACGAGTTTTTATTTTGCTTATGAATTTCATTGGAACTAAACACTAATTTTTTCTCGACTCATTCATCAAACGCTTAAAATAGACTAACACTAAAATTATGCTTTTTGTAGAATTTTACAGCATTTCGAGATTTCAATATTTATTTATTTTGTTTCAAATCTATTTCCAAACATAGCTGATTAAAATTAAAATATTAAAATTAGGAAAATAAATATAGAGTAATTCCGTTAAATTAAAATTAAATGATTCATTCTACATAATATTCAATTTAATAAAACACCATTAAATAGTTAATAAATATACATACAGTCTGGTGCAAAAGTATATGATCAAGGGTGTGTGAATTTTAATTTTGCTTCGCCTCGCTGTTAAATCGCAAAATTTTAAAGCTTTTTCATTTTATATTATAGCATTTTTTGTGGGCTTTAAGATGATTATAAATTTATAGAAAAATATTTCCATTTCATAGGGTTATGATTTTTTAAATAAATTTACCCCTATTTTTGTTGTTTCTATAAATTTATCATCATCTTAAAGCCCGCAAAAAATGCTATAATATAAAATAAAAAAGTTTTAAAATTTTGCGATTTAACAGCGAGGCTAAGCAAAATTAAAATTCACACACCCTTGATCATATACTTTTGCACCAGACTGTATGTAGCAGGGCTGGGCTCATTTCGCGTTTCGCATTTTTCGTATTTTTTGTTGCGAAAAGTTTCGCATTTTGCATTTTGGTCCAAATGCGAAATTTGTTTCGCATTTTTCATTTAGCCGACCCGAGAAATTTTCGAAAACCCGACCCGAAACCCGACATTTTCCTTGGAATTTTATTACAAAAAGGGAAGATTTTTGGCTCTTTGGCCTTCCAAAATTCTCAAAATTTTCGCCTGCGGCGCTAAGAAATGTTACCGAATTTGGGCACAATTTTTAAGGATCAAGATGGTTTGTGGAGGTATCTGTGGGAGGCATCTTCGGGGGAAGATAGAAAAAAGAAATCCCCGTACCCCGACCCGAACCCCGACCATATTTTGCTCCCCCGACCCGAACCCCGCCCCGAAACAATTCAAAAACACCGTACCCCGACATACCCGCCCCGAGCAACCCTATTTATAATTTTGAATATGAATAAAATATTTTTAGAATTTTTTAATAATTTCGCTTTCGATTTCGCATTTTTCGCATTTTTTGGCGCGAAAAGTTTTGCATTCCGCATTTTATTTTTTTAAAAGGTTTCGCATTTCGTATTTTATTTTTAGCTTTCGCCCAGCCCTGATATGTAGCAATAATTTTCAGTATATTTTTCAATAAATCATTTTGACTGGGCTTATACTATTAAAACTAAGAAAGGCAGTCTATAATGAGGTCGTTAATAATTTGATGTAGTTGTTTTGTAATAATCATTGCTCTAAGTAGCGGAACCAGTGAGAGGCAAAGAACCATACAAAAAAATTATTTGGTTA